TCAAAAATGACACAGTAAAAGACTTTTATATTGTCACAAAAGATTTATATTTCAAATAAATGCTGTTTGTGAACTTTTTATTTATCAAAGATTCCTGAAAAAAATGTATCACCAAAATAAAATAATGAAATAAAAAATGAAAATATTTAAATAAAAATGTTTGTAAAAAAAAAAAAAAAGAGAATCCTAAAATAAAAAATTAAATGTTAAAATAAAATGTTATTAAAATAAATCCTGAAAATATGTATCACAAAAATAAAATATTTAAATAACTGTTTTCATTGCTTTTTGATAATAATAAAAATGTTTCTTGAGCACCAATTCAGCATATTAGAATGATTTCTGAAGGTTTTTCTCTGAAGGTGATTTCAAGTGACACTAAAAATTCAGCTTTGGCATCATAGGAATACATTACATTTTACAGAACACACTAAAATAGAAAACGGCCATTTCATAATTTAAAAATACATTAATACTATTTCACAATATTACTGTTTTTGAATTCTTGATCAAATAAATGCATCTTTCGTTCATTTATTAGAACTGTCTGTTTTTATTTATTTATTTTTTAAAAGATTTTAAGACTTTTTTTGAAAACATAGATTGGATACCAGCTTATACACAGACCATGTTAATAAGTAAAGTTGTGTGGCTATATACTTATATACTGGAAACTGTATGTGACGTTTATCCTGGTACAGTGCCTTGCCCCTTAGACTTCCATTGTAAATTGAAAAAAATTTATCAATTGTTGATTAATTGAAAAAAAATCCATTTTTTTTATTAATCAACAGCATGCAAGAGTCTTGCATATTTTTCAATTTCAAATATTGGATGCATAAAACTCGCAAACCCTGCAAATCTTGTGACACGTTCTTTCCCAGAAGACCCTGAGAACTCCTTAAACAGGACTTCGTCTCCAACCGGATTGATAAAAACCTGTGCACACAGACTCTTGGAAAGCCTACCAATCTGATTGGAACTTGCCATGTTGAGTGTAAGTTTTGTAATGTCTTGCCATTGTTTTGCTGTCTGCAGCTAGCTCTGCATTGACATAAACAGTCTGTATTTCTAAGTCTCTATTTCAAGGCATCCGCCATTGTTCTATGTGATCATAGTCTTTGTGTGTGTGTGTGTGTGTGTGTGTGTGTGTGTCCTTAGCTCTGACTGTCACACTGACACGTACAGAGAGGCTGATTTCTCTAATCTGTCTCACAAACCGAGAGAAAAATACCTGTCAAAGAGCTGCACGCCGCACTCTCAGAGGTGACAGTCTCATAAAATGAAGAATGCTCTTTTCCCTCTTGCTCTCTCTTTAACTTCCTATCACAGTTTCCTTTCATTCCATTTCATTTCATTCACACTGCTGGCAGAGCGATTTGCTGCTAATGGGATACATGTGCAGAAAAAAAAATCTCAGGTTTATTTGCATTTTAAATGTAAAAATTAATAGTTGAGGCAATTGATCCTAGAGCGTTTAAGTTGGTTGCTAGGGTGTTGCTATGTGCTTACTAAATTGTCCTGGCAAGTTCTGGTTTGGAACAGGAAGTCTTTGAGCTAACAGACCTGTGGTTCTGTCTTTAAGCGCAGTCCGACACATCTCAATGCGGGCCGAGTGGAAGGGCACATATCGGTCCTGTGGAGAGGCCACCAACACCACGTTCCTGAAGAACTGCAGACCTGGACAAAGAAAGTAAGGAAACATGGGTATGTATGTATGTGTTTGTGTTCATCCTTGCTTGTCTTTCTATGTGTCTCTACCTGGTTTCTTGCTGAGTGTGTAGAGGAAGGTCTGTCGCGGGTCGGTGTGGTCCCTGAACGTAAGCTGCAGTAGGGAACCAGACTTCTTCAGTTTCTGCATTAGCCACAGACCTGAAGAACAAGGATAGAAAGTCATAGAGGTTTAGAATGACATCAAGTTGAGGAAATGGTGACAGACTCTGTAGATTTTATTCAGCAAACCGATGAACTCTAGACAGACTGCATATACACTACTGCTCAAATGTTTGAGGCCGCTAAGACTCTTATGCTCACCAAAGCTGCATTTATTTGAGCAAAAATACAGTAAAAATAGGAATATTCTGACATATTATTACCATTTAAAATAACTGTTTTCTATTTGAGAACATTTTAAAATGTAATTTATTTCTGTGAGTCAAAGCTGAATTTTCAGCATCATTACTCCAGTCTTCAGTGTCACACGATCCTTCAGAAATCATTCTAATATGCTGATGTTCTTTGATGAACAGAAAGTTCAAAAGAGCAGCGTTTATTTGAAATAGAAGTCTTTTATAACATTATGACTTTACTGTTACTGTCAATTTAATGCATCCTTGCTGAATACAAATCAATTTCTTAAATAAAACACGACTGACCCCAAACTTTTGAACAGTAGTGTATGTCTGTATTTGTGTGAGTACCTGTGCTGACCAGCGTGCTGTTGCTGTACAGTGTTCCCAGGTGGGGTCCAGACAGGGACAGGAAGGTGTGGAGTTTACAGAGGTAACAGCGAAATCTGGGTCGGGTCAGCACAGAGCGAATGATGACGTTCCCCAAAGAGTGTCCGATAAAACTGGCAAAAAGAAAGAAACAAAAACAAGTCAGGCATTGAACCTTCCAAAAATATGTGTTAATTTTGATACATTTTTGGGTCTCTTTTCATTGCAAATTATTCTTACATCGCAATAAGGGACTACAGTTTTAATTAAAACTCTCTCAGTCATTATGAAACTTTTTAACATTTGATTTTGAAAAGACATTTGAAACTCTAGACTTCAGAGAACGAACAAAGACTGGGAAGTATATTAAAAATTATTAAATGACTGTAAAATTAATATTAAAAAGCTTTATATGAACTACTAGACACATTTGTTACATTTTCCAGCGTATTATGTGAATATCTTCAGATTTTATTTCTTCTGAATGCCTAACAGACCTTTCTTTTACTTTACTGCCATCTTGTGGTAATAGTAAGTATAAAATATGCAGTTCTAGAGGAGCCATCCAGGAGCCAATATTACACTTCAACTACTGTATTCACCTTTTTATTATTATTATTATTATTATTACTGACACTAAAAGCATATCTTTAATGTGAAGCTTAATACTCCATGCTATACTTGATAACTGGATCAAACATTTTAAATGCAAACCTTGTCTACAACGTGCTATTTTGTAAGCAGCTAAAGATCATACATTTGTTAAACTGTTCGTGAATATCCAGATGTAAAGACAAAACTAATGAGGCTTACAACATGATTAACTGCTCTCATATGGTTGTGGCAGATGTCTCTAATGCCCAACCACAAGGGGGCACGCTAGTCTGTGTTTTGTATTTTTATGAAGTGTGCGTGGGATCACAGGGTTTTAAGAAGTCATATAGTGTCAGTTAACATGGTGGTTGACATGGCCTAGTTAGATCTTGCTGGTAGATGTCGTATCTGGATTCAGAAGGCATGAAATTGAATGTCTACATCTGTTCAGACTCGTAGTTTGAGCTCTAATGCAATGCTGATATTGACTGTGGTTTGGTTGTGCTGCTATAATATCAATATGATGGTGAGTTTTAATGAGGTTGTGTGTTTATAAACCTGATTCGGTGGATGGTGAGGTTATACAGCTGGATGTGCTGAATTATCTCGTCCAGAAGTCTGTCAGTCATGGTGTCAAAATCTGCAAAGGTGTCCGTCTAGAGACAGAAGACGACAATGTCAACAGAAAGCTGATCAAACTTGTAGTAACCATTTGAAAGTTGTGATTGGTTGTTGTGGGGCATTGTAGCTTTCTGATTGGTTGTTGTGTGCTGTTAACTGGTCACACAGTGATAGTTGTTTGTTGTTGTGTTGGCATGCTAAAACAATGAAATATTGTCGATCTGAGCAATAAAAATGTGGAACATTTGATTTCACTTTTTTCACTCCATTCAACCAGGGATCCCTGGTTCAAGGTTTTTTTTTGTTTGTTTTTTTAACCATGAAATGTTTCCTATTTATTTATTTAAATTCATTAATTAATTAATTTCATATCTGACCCCTGACCTGTCATTGACAAATGTCATAATGTCCTGGGTGCTCTGATTGGCTGAATGCAGTTCAACAGCTGTGCTGATTGGTTGGATGTTCTACCTGGTTGCGTTCTGAAAAAAAACAATTTACTACAGATGCAGCTATTATTTTTTAAATCTTAAAAAGTTTGCAGATATTAATCCAAATGTCTTCAAGGTTAGAACGTTTACCATCAAGTCCATGGACACACACCACGAGGTGGATCCCATCCTCAAACTCGGTGTCGTCTTCCTCAGGAGGGAAGTATGGGTGATCAGAGGCGAGGTAAGGCAGGTCACTGTAGAGAGTGCCTCTGAACACCAGATCCCTCAGCATGGCTTCCTTTGCCTTATAGAAGCTTTAAGACATCAATGAAAAACTGTAATAATACAGTGAGCAATGCATTCAAGTTCTGTTAAAATAGTAAAGGGGGAAAGCTGAAAATTCAGCCTGTACATACATTCATACCTCCTTATGATTGGTGAGAAAATGTACATTTAAAATATAATTTTTTTTTGCTATTAGTGAATAACCAAAATTAACTTACTTAATCATTCTCTCGTTGATTTCCTGATCAGCGCCGAAGGAGGAGTTGGAGGAAATTATCCCAAATGAGCCTAGGGGTTGATGGGTAATGGGGGAAGTGGCCTGGCGCATGGAGATTCCGCTAACCGATGGCGAATCACGTAGAACAGACGAGAAGGGCAGACATGTGGGAGCGCATGACACTGACAGGTTGACTACCTCCACCACCTTTTTATTCACGAATGCCAGACCTGTACTTGGCACTTTACTGGCTCTGCTCTGCCCCTCTAGCGCCTGCTGCTCTCCCTCATTGGCCGGAAGCTTGATGAGATCAGCAGGCATTTCTTTCTCATTGGCAGCAATTTTGTAACTGCTCTTGGCATTGATTGGTGGATCTGGAAGGTTCTCCATACTTACTTCTTCAAATTCATTCAAATGAATGTGACAGACACTGATGTCATCGCGGTCCTTTTGATATGTGTTTGATTCTAGCACCCCCTTGTGTTCGCAGTATTTATTTTCACAGCTACAGATCTTTGTGTTGTCATCATTTAGAGCAGAATACTCTTCAAGGAATATGTTTGCTTGACTTTCCTCTGAGTTTTCATTCGGTTCCTCCACTGTGGCGTTTTCAACACCATTGTGCGTCCCACATTGCTGGTATAGTAACATTACTGGATTAGCTAATTCAAGATCTGCTGTTTCCTGATTGGACAACTCATCCACGTCGATCTCGTGATTGGTTGTTTCGTTTCTGTACTCCTTAGTAACACTTTGAAGATTCTGCTTCACCTCATTGGCTCCGTCCTCACTCTGCCTTAGCTGATTGGCTGCACAAACATTCCTCTTCTCCTGATTGGTTGTTTCCTCTCTGTCCTCTCTAGTAACTCCTTGAAGTTTCTGCTTCATTTCTTTAGCTGCTTCCTCACTCCGCCTCAGCTGATTGGCCACACAAACATTCCTCTTCTCCTGATTGGTTGTTTCCTCTCTATCCTCTCTAGTAACTCCTTGAAGTTTCTGCTTCATTTCTTTGGCTGCTTCCTCACTCAGCCTCGGCTGATTGGCCACACAAACATTCCTCTTCTCCTGATTGGGTGTTTCATGATCTTCCTCTGTGTCGTCAGGACTGCTGATCTGTGGCGCTGAGGCGGATTTGGTCAAAGTATTGAGCTGCCTCTCCTCCTCCTCTTCATAAGGCAGGGAGCTTATGGAGGTCAGAGAGGCCTGCGTGGCACTGGGCAGGCTGCCGTGACTTTCCATCTGTAGGCCCTCCAAAGAGCTCTGATGCGCCGGCTGACGACGCGCCAAGTTCTGCAAGACGTCACGACCCCCACTGACAATTCCTCGACCTTCCAGGGTCCAGGCCATGGAGCTTGGCTCGCTCTCAATACCAGAATCCGAGATAACGGAGGAGGAGCGGTTCATTAGTTTAGCGCCACCCAAGAATATGCCCTTGGGCGGGGTTTCGGACAAGCGACGGATCTGTTGTATAACATTACGAGAAGGAGACGTGGCTAAAGTGTCGGTTCCCATTGAGTTGGTGTTCAGTAGATTAGCTGGTGATGTATCCTTGCTCCCATAATCCTTTGCAGGTGCTTCAGTGTATCTGTTATCTAATACCGACTGTGGCTGGTCGTTGCCAAGACTCCCTGTATTGCCTGGAGTTTCAAGATGGTTGTCATGGTTATGAGTGGGCAAGAACTCAAAGCTGTCAATGCTGGTGAGGTCGGGAAGTTCTGCAGCAACCGTCGGAACAAGCAGCAAAGTCTGTCCGCTACTAAAATCAGTACTTTTGGGAACATTTGTTTGTTTTAGACCCGCATGATCAGATTCAACAAAGTCAACTACTTCTTTTTGGCAACTAGCTTTCTCAAGGTTACCTGTATCTATTGCTTCATCGCTGTCTACAGACCTACAATCAACATCGAATCCTTCCTCAGTTTCATACTGGCATCTGGCCTTATCAACAGAATAAATTCTTGAATCTGAGGTCGTGATACATTCGCTTCTATCAATATCAGTTTCTCCCACATGGCCAATCAGAGTCTCTGCTTGAGCTCTGGTCTCTTTATAGTCAGTGATGCAGTCCTCCTGCCGGCCAATCAGGGCCATGTATGTGGGCAAGTCCATGTAATCTTCACAGGGAGGTTCATCAGGGGGTGTTGCTGGTGAATTGGTGTCCTGTGTTCCCTCAACCGGAATGATGGTTTGATCTTCCATCCTTGTTGGCTCAGGACATGGCTGAGAGTTTAAGACAGTCTGATTTTCCACATGGAGGTTGTAGTCTAGAACAGAGAAAGAGAAAAGTGCATTGTATTTTTTGCAAATTGTATTTTTTTTTTGTTTAATAAAAACTTGAGGATACTTTAAAATGTGTATTTTTGTTCTGTTGACCTATTAATTTGTTGATTCATTTGATTTTTTTTTATTTTTTTTTATTTATTCATTCATTTGTTCTTAAATTCTTGAATTAACTCTTTAACTCTTGAGTTAACTCATTCACATTTTCATTCTTGTTCATGCATTTGTTACTTTGTTGGTTCATTACTTCATTTACTCTTGTTTCTCATTGATTTGTTAGTACGTTTAATACATTTGTCATTCTTTCAACTATTCATTTATTTTTTTGTCTGTTCATTTTATTTCATTTATTTGTTTATTCTTTAGTTCTGTTAGTTTTTCAGATCTCTCATTAATTTGTTTATTCATTTATACATTAATTCTTATATTTATTTGTTTGTTCATAATGCAGTTCACTGATTCAGTTTTTAATTCTAAATGTTTTGTTTGTTCATTTACTCTTTTGTTCATTCATAAGTTTGTTCATTCTTTCAGTGATCTGTATGTTTAAAATGCTCACATTTTTGTTTATTCATTAATTAGTTTGGCCTTTCTTTTTGTTTTTTCATTCGTTCATTTGTACAATCATTTATATATTAATTCATATATTTATTTGTTTGTTCATTATGCAGTAAGCACTAATTCAGTAGTTTTTTAGTTCTAAATATTTAGTTTCTTTATTTATGTTTTTGTTCATTTATAGGCTTGCTCATTCATTCTGTGATTTGTTTGTTTAAATGCTCATTAATTTATTCATTTGTTTGCTTGTTTGTTTGTTTAGATGTTCATTCATTCATTTGCTTTCTTTTAAACAGGGTCACTGTTTGTTGTCACCTAAACAGGGCGTGTCCACGTATCTGTCCTCGAAGATGATTGGCAGGCTGCTCCAGTCTCCGTCGATGTCCAGGCATTCCACAGGAAGTGGAGGCATTCGGAGCAGGTAATCAGAGTTGCGCATCTCTGGGGCCACCTGTGCGTGTCTGTTGATACTATTAATTACAGTAGCTTTAATTAAAATAATGAAGGTTATTTCTCCATTTACATAGCTAGGTATATATGAGTACGTGGCTAAAAGACTATACTATACTAAAAGACTCACAGCTCCTCCTGAAATGTGAGTGAGGACTCTTTGGGATGTTCAGTGAAGAAATATGCTTCAGAAAATCTCCTGACCTGCACAGACACACACATTCAGTATATATATATATATATATATGTATCTTTGTTATAAAAATATAAATTGTACACATAAATACCTAATAAATTGAATATAATAGTATAGTTAACAAATGCAAATTTGTTGTAATTATGTGATTTTAACACTTCTTTTACCATTTTTAGTTATTCAAAAGTCTTTAAAATCAACCATTTTAAATAAGAAATTAAAAAAAATTAAAGAGAAAGTTGCTTTCTTTTTTTAAATAATCCTTAATTTTTAAAAGTAAAAAAATTCCTCTTATTGTTAAAAAAATAAAAATAAATAATAATAGTCAAAAAAAAAAAAGTTCCCCATATTGAAGAATCACCCATTCATATAAAATAAGTATACTAAGTCACTGTAGATCATGCGGGTAATATATCATTCATGCTGCATCTGAATCATTTTAGCTTTTCTCTCTGTATTTGTCTTACAGACACATTTTGAATGCATTACAGTCTTGTGTTTTATATTCCTTTTTTAAGATCAGTCTTCCACAGTCTTCCACACATAAAGGAACCTCACGTACGAGAGAGAAATAAAACCACTCCAGTAATAAAAAACTAAATTGGATTAATCTCTTCAGAATTACTGTATGCATCGAAAGAGATGAGGTTTCTACGTATAAACCATCGCTCAAGAGAACGCAGAGTTGTGAGGGATGCTGGGAAATTCAGGCTGTGTATAAGCACTCCATTTTATTCCAGGATTTATCCTACAGTAATTTAAATCAGCCTGACTAGAAACTAATTCTACTGTTGGTATTCAAGGAATCATGTTAGTTTGTTGCTACAATTATTAAATGAGCTGTTTGTATATTTCATAAACTACAAATATGCTGTCACGCTCAAAATTCACCCTGTATGCAACTGAAAATCAGGCTTTAGCGCCATTTGTAGCAAGAAAAGAAGACCTATGGGCATTGAACATGCTAAAAAAGCCTCTGCAACTCATTTTTATGCGACGTATCTCTAAATGAAACATGATATTCAACAAGAAATGTAGTCCAGGACTTCCCAGCCCAACATAAATCAGCTCTCACCCTGAGTGTGTGGTGCTCCTGGGCCAGATGTGAGCGGATATGTGGATTAGGAACCGTGGCTTCCAAAAACTGTGTCCAAAGAGCAGCCAGCTGAGCACAGAGCTGCGTCAGTTCTTTACTGATCTGTTCTGCTACCTTCTCATGACCGCTCTGCAACTTTAAAACAATCAATCTCATTTAGTAACAGAACAATATTTATTATTGTGATGGTGTTTAACCTACATCATCATATTAATGGAGGCCTTTGATAAGTAAAGTGTTTCACAAACCTGCAGTTCAATGGTGAGCTGGTTTAATGTTTCTTCAAGAGGAAGGTCCTCTGGAAATGAGAACATAAGGAGAGAGTTTAGACACAGACAACAACTATTGTGTTAATACGATATATATATATATTTTTTTTTTTATTCTAAAACTATTCACTTTCATTTTTTTTTTTATTAGCATTTATATGCTTGTGTTACGTGATATAAATATTAAAGTTTCACCTGCTCCTCCTCAGTGTTGCTTTAAAGTTAATTCATGCATACAATTGTTATTTACTGACACTCATGTTGCTGTAAACTTTAAAACAAATTATTTAGCACATACTCTTGGCTCTGTTTTTCTCACAACCACAGTGAATAAGTCAGGCTTTAAAAGTGAAAGCATGACTTAGATGATCAATCAATTAATTGTCATTTATTCCTGTGATGCTGAATTTCACAGTCTTTGTGTGTCACATGATCCTTCAGAAATCATTCTAATATGCTGATTTGCTGCACAAGAAACTTTTCTTATTATCAATTTTAAAATGAGTTGTGCTGAATAGAAAGTAAAAAACAACAACAACAACTATTGAATGGCTTCAAAGTTGTATTAACTACTTTTATGATGCTGATATGGTGCTTTTATGTCCTTTTTTAAAAAAAAAAAAAACTTGACAATTCCTGATAACTGTGTGCTTTTTGTGTCCCACAGAGGAAAGAAAACCTTATGGATTTTGAAGGACATGAGGGTGAGTAAATGATGACAGGGAACTGTCTTTGAGAAAGCCACACACATTTGAAGTGAATGAGTTACATAAGAGTTTGTGATTATACCCATCTCTATGTGTTGCAGTTGAGGGATCTCCTTCATTAGCGCCGTGTAATAGGAGCGCAGAGCTCTGTGAGCCGCCAGCAACAGTTTACAGATGCGCCGGTGCCACGTGTAAGCTCTCTGCAGACAGTTCTCCGACGGCACGTAAAAACTGCCCTGTAAACACACATACATTCACACAGGACATACGAGTGGAGGTCAGATTTTACTGCATGTCACACTTCTTCCCTGTTATTTCTGCACACGCACAACCAGGTAAACTCTGAACAACTTCAGTCATACAACCACTGTTCTCATAAGTTCTCCTTTAAGAGCTGAAAACACACGACAAAAAGAGGAAAATAGGAATATATAATTCCTCAAGACAATCTGTCTGTCTGTCCGTCTGATATCATATTTGTGTGATGTGGTTGTTATGAGCAGCAGCTGTATGTTTATGTTTGGTTGAGCCTGAAGCTCAATAATTAGATGAAGATCAAACACAAAGTAAAACTTTTAATGCAGTCAGTTTCCCAGCAGTAAAATAGGAGAAGTGTGCATACGTGGCACTCGCTTATGGAGAACGACACGGAGACGTCGTGCCGACAGGAAGTGCGCACATGTAATGTAACGCAATGTAAATGCATAAACTCATAACGACATAAGATCATTTATATGATGTCTCTCTTTAACATAATGTCTCTTTGATGTATTTTATTTGATTTATAGCATTTTCAGCAATTTTCACATTTCTGGGTAAAAGCAAATTGAAATAAAGTTTAAAAAATACACTGCTAATGTGTAGTACACTTCTAATTGCTGCTTTGACACAATCAGTATTGTATAAAGCGCTATACAAATAAAGGTGACTTGACTACTATTCAAAGGTTTGTCGTCAGTAAGATTTGTTTTTGAAAGAAGTCTTTTATGCTCACCAAGGCTGCATTTTCTGACCAAAATAAAGTTAAAATGGTAAAATTGTGAAATATTATTACAATTTATAAGCACTGTTTATATTTGAAAATATTTTAGAATATTATTTATTCCTGTGATGCAAAGCTGAATTTTCAGCATCATTACTCCAGTCTTCAGTGTCACATGATCCTTCAGAAATCATTCTAATATGCTGTTTTGCTGCTCAGGAAGCATTTATTCTTATTATTATTCTTATTAATTTTAAAAACGGTAGTGCTGTTTAATGTTTTTATGGAAACCATGATGCATTTTTTTTCTTTGATGAACAGAAAGTTCAAAAGAATAGCATTTATTTGAAATTTGAAACCTTTTGAAACATTATAAATATTTTTTACTGTCACTCTTGATCAATTTAATGTGTCCTTGCTGAAATGAAAGTGTCAAAAATAAAATAAAGTGAAATTAAAGTGCCATAAAATAAAATGTCAAAAGCATTACCTTGTTACCTTTTCATACTAGCGTGGAAACAGGCTTCTATATGAATCTAAAACACTAAATACAAGCTATTTTTAAATGTACAGTTGTAGTTAACAGAAAACGCTGGTGATGCTGTAAATGTTTGGAGCAAAGGCTCATAAATTGCTGATGTAGGGGTGATTGTGAGTTTGTTGGGCCTCTAATATGTCTTTACTGCATACTTGTGTATACTGTGTAATATGTGTGTGTATGTTTGCAAAGAGAGTGCTGAACGCTGTCATTATATGTGTGAAGCTTTGTAATCTACATTCAGTTATGTCCTTTTGACTCAAACAGATGCGTACTGAATTCAGTCTCTCTCTCGCACGCACAAACATCTGCTCTGTGCTTTCTACTGACATTTCTCGCATTTTAGTACCTGTGACAGCTGGAAAACACACAGGGTCAATATTACACTCACATACAAGCAACATAGGTCATGGTTCACAGAGCCAAATTTAATGTAAGAAATTGTGTGCGCAAGGTAGAGTAAACGTGCCAGCTTGCACTGTGGGATAGTGTCATCTGTTTGCGGTCAACATGTGTATAAATACATTCATGCAAGTCTATACGCTATATATTACAAGTCTTCTGAAGCCGTACAGTAGTTCATTATAAGTATCGATGCCCAATTCACGAACAATTGTTTGTATGAGTTGAATCTTTTCAGTGAATCATCTGATTCACAAAACTAGTCGGAATGATTTGTTTAGGAATCAGTCTGATCTGGTTCAACTCAGTGATTCAATTGCAGCAGTAAACGTGGAGAATGAGTGAATCAAATTTAACCTGACTTTAAATTTAATTTATTCTAAATTTACTTTGAAGTTGTTGTTCACTGAACTATGTTTTAGTTCTCACAGAAGGCTGTTGTTTGATTCAGAAGTCTTGCAAATTTATATGACATTTATGATACTTTTATGCTGTTTTTGTTTTGATTCATTTAATAATGAAAACATGAGCAGTACAATCTTTCTTAATGTCTCTTTTGTGTTCAACAGATGAAAGAAAGCCAAAGGGGTTTGGATACATTTTGGGTTAACTGTATTGCTTTTGCAAAAGACAAAAACATTAACTCGTCACCTAATGAGCTTGAAAATCGTGTCTTATGTCACAGAGTGAAAAGCAGCACATTATGTCCTTCATTGTAAGGTAGAAGGGCTGAGGAGGGCTTATAGAAAGCAGAGAGAGAGAGAGAGAGAGATGCTTGCTCCTCATGTTTGAGGCCGTTAAAGCTGGGCTCGTTACGATGATCAAACGCTGCATCCCTCCAGCGAAACGCTGTACTTAATAAAGTGCCCTGCAGGGGGGGTGTAAACATAGGACCCATACGGAGACGAGAGGCCTCGTTAGGATTTCCTGCCTAAATGGAAATCTCCACAGGCAAGAGAAACCTCTCAGTTCATCCAGTCAGAAAAAAAACAACGGAGGGCTACTTTGTCCTCAGAAAACGACCAGCTAGATCTATGCTGTTTAACTCTAAATTGTTCTGGTTTAATGTCTGCATTTCATTTAGGGCCAGTTGAAGCAGGTATTATTTGGAAACTCCATGACTGTGTTCTGAATGAATGCTGCACATTATATGCACTGCATACTGCCTGGTATTTTTTAAATAATTAATAATAATGGAGTAATAGATGAAATTGAACTTTACTCAGGCATTAGTATGCAACGTTGTCATATGAACTCAGTATGTTTAATGTAGCATCAGGTTATTTTTTTTTCTTAAATAAAGGGGATATATAATTTTTAAAACATATTTTTATTTATTTATTTATTGGGGGGGGCAGTGTGATAAAATAAATAAATTAATTTAAAACAGACATTTATAATGTTACAAAAAATTATATTTTAGGCTGAACTTTCTATTAATAAAAGAATCCTGAAAAAAAAAATGCATCACATTTTCCACAAAAATATTAAGAAAAACTGTTTTAGTTATTCATAATAATAAGAGCCATTATTAATAAATGAGCACAATAATAAGAGCCATTGTTAATACTTGAGCACCAATAATAACTGTTAATATATATA